CACACACACACACACACACACACACACACACACACACACACACACACACACACACACAGACACGCAAACACCAGAATACACACACATGTAAACACACTCTCCTTTCTGCTGCCCCCTGGTGGTGTAGTGTTGGTTTTACTGGGAACCAGAACCAGATGATTTTATTAAAAGAAACCCATCTGCCTGGAATACTGATGAAACCACTTTTTGTGTGAGAACCAGTTTCAGTGAGAATTTTTTTCCGACTACTCTTCACTTCCACTGTTTGAGGATCCTTAAATGACATCATAGGCCTACTTATTTTCAGACCTAAACCCACAGTCGATGTATCTTCCTACAAGTATTGGGTGTATCAAAGCCTGTTATATCTTCTTCCTTTGGCCCAAACAGCTCTGTTGTTGTCCAAAAGCTGTTAAAAACACATCAATGAGCCTCACTGCTGCACTGGGTAACATGTTCCTTCATTGTGAACAAGCACACTGTAATTTACTTTGACGCAATCCAACTTACATTGTCCTGCTGCCAAAACCACTCACTGGGACACCAGATGTTTAATGGAATATACTGGGAGAATACTGAATAGGATATTTTCTTTTAGTTTTTAAAACCTTATCTCCTGTAGGAATCAATGGGCGTGGTGCCTAAAACCAGAGACTGGAAGTTAGAACAGTATTGAGATGCTAGTTTGAGTCTTTTCCTGCGATTGGTTGACTTATAAAGAATCTAAAATAATATCAGGCTCATCAAAGTGTGATCTGATGGTTTACAATCTGATTACAATGTGTTCTAGGAGCATTAACATTGAGAGCTTTTGAATATTGGGACTTTTTCTTGATCCAGATGTTCATTTGGAAATGAGGTCAAAAAGGCAAGAAGTTATGCACTTGGAAACTTTCTTTCTTGGTGATATTTTAGAACACTATTTGCTGTTATATATTATATTATGTGTAGCTGCTTACTTTGACTGGTCACTGATCTGTGCTTATGTACTGCTGTGGTTTTTTCTCACCACTAGAGGTCGATATTGTTCTGTGTTAGTGAAACTGTGACTGACAGCAGAACCACCTCCAGTTCCTTGAGCATTTAGTTACGGTAAAAGCCCAAAAAATGTTACTTTTATAAAAGGGTGTAAAAACTGTCAGGGAAAAATGTTAAACTATAAGATAGAGAAAAAATATAAATGGTGACAAATACTGTGATAACGACCACAATACGGAAGTGACAAATTCACAGTCCACAATCCAAACCTCTACTGTATTATAATGACTCCCGCTTAATAAATGAGAATGATGGCTGAAGCTCGAAAAATAGCTTGTAAGTTGTTCTTCAAGCGACATAATCAGACCTCTTTTGGTTGGTAAGGGTCGGGGAGGTTTGAAGAAATTCACACACCAATTAAGACTGTAACAAAACAGAGAACTTTATTGTATTTAAAAGGTCATGCTATAAGGATGCTTTCAGGTCTTTGTACAAACAACTTCCTCAAACACACACACAGACAGAAACACACACACACACAGGCAGAAACACACACACACACACACACACACACACACACACACACACACACACACACACACACACACACACACACACACACACACACACACACACACACACACACACACACACACAGGAACACACACACACACACACACACACACACACACACACACACACACACACACACACACATACATGCTTTAGGTCTTGAATATGTTATTGACAGGTCTTGACAAGGCCGGATTAGTACCTCCAGGGGCCCCTGGGCACTGAGAACTCATGGGGCCCCCCCCAACCCACGTACCAACAAGTAACACCACGCCTACCCAATCCTACCAACATGACCAATATTTAGAATTGTCAGTCAATCTGGCATGTCAAATCGCACGCCTATTTGTCAAAAGCAGGGACGCAGCCACATAGTTCAACCAAAGCAGGTCTAGCCTTTTCTATCTCACACGAAAAATCACAAGACAAAGATACAATGGATAAGATCTCAAGACAGTGTATGGCTCATAATGTCTATTATGTCTATAACTATGTATTATGTCTATAACTATGTATTATGTCTATAACTATGTAAATGTATCCTGTAAATATAATGTATGATGTCCTTTATTGTTTTATGTTTCATGTGGAACCTATATGCTGCAGGTCTCCCTTGAAAAAGAGATCTATGATCTCAATGGGACCAATCTGGTTAAATA